CCCCTCCCCCCACTCCAATTTGTAGCCCTAGGAATGTTCCCTCCCTCTGTAAGACCACTGCAGTACCGTGGTCTTTCTTTTCTTCCTTCCTTTCTCTCTTTGCTCCCATATGTGAGTGAGCACATGCGGTATTTATCCCTCTGTGCTTTGCTTATTTCACTCAAGTTTCTCCAGGTTCGTCCATGTTGTTGCAAATGGGAGTATTTCATTTTTTTTATGGCAGAGTAGTATACTATAGTGTATATATACCACAGTTTCCTTATCCAATCATCCATCAATGGACATTTAGGTTGGTTCCATATCTTGGCTATTGTAAACAGAGCTGCGATGAACATGGGAATGCAGGTATCTCTTAGACATGATGATTTACATTCCTCTGAGTACATACCCAGAAGAGGCCAATCTGTATGTTTTTAATTGTTTATATCAGAAGTGACATATGTCATTGGCCAGAGCTGTTTGGTTGGCCTTGCCTAACTTCAAGGGGACAGGAGGGTGTAACCTCTCCTGAGCATGGAAGGAGAAGGAAACCAGAAATTGTGAGCATTGTATCATTCATCAGAGAATATAACTTGAGTAATGTGTATAAAAGACCAACAGAATTAGGCCAAAGAAAGTGGAGAAAAGGTAATGATAAATAGAAATTTATGAAAGACAATACTATCAACCAAAGATTGATAATAAGAGAGTGGATAAATAAACACTATTTGGGATGAAAAATACAGTCCCAGTAGTGATTTAAATGTAAGAGAGCATGTTGGTTGAACAGCTTTATACCAATACATTTTCATACTTAGATGAAATATATGACTTCGTAGAAATGTATAACTCATCAATGCTAACTGAAATGCAATAGAAAACCTAAAGAGACCTAGAGACAATAAATAAATTGAATCAGCAGTTTGAAAAAAATCTTTCCACAAAAATGGGATAAGGCTCAAATGATTTTGAAATAAATACTACCAAACCTTCACAGAACACATAATCCATCTTTTTTTTATATTTATTAAACATTCAAGGCTGGCCAGTTAGCTCAGCTTGTTAAAGCACAGCCTTATAACACCAAGGTCATGGGATTAGATCCCCAAACTGGCCAGCCACCAAAAAAAAAAAAAAAAAAAAAAAAAAGAAAGGAAGATGAAGCTTGAAAAAAAAAAAAAAAAAGAAAACAATCTTAAAAAACAAAAATCAGCAAATATTTATTGTGTATCTACTGTGTGCTTGACACTGTAGGCCCTTAGGATATATCAGTGAACAGAACAAAGATTTCTTTCTTCTTGGAGTTTACATTTTAACAGGTGAGAAAGACAGTAAATAGTTACAATAACAAGTAAACAATATAGCATATTAGNCAAAAAAAAAAAAAAAAACAACAAAAAAGGAAGATGAAGCTTGAAAAAAAAAAAAAAAGAAAACAATCTTAAAAAACAAAAATCAGCAAATATTTATTGTGTATCTACTGTGTGCTTGACACTGTAGGCCCTTAGGATATATCAGTGAACAGAACAAAGATTTCTTTCTTCTTGGAGTTTACATTTTAACAGGTGAGAAAGACAGTAAATAGTTACAATAACAAGTAAACAATATAGCATATTAGAAAGTTATAAATGCTATGAAAAAGACAAAAGAGTAGAGAAAGGGGATTGAGAGTTCTGGGGGTAGAAAGTGGGAAGCAAATTGTAGTATTAAATAGGGTGGATCAGAGGAAGCCTTATTGAAAAGATGAGATTTTGGCAAAGATTTAAAGAAGTTGAGGGAGTTAGCTAAGTGGCAATCTTGGAGAATAGCATTCCAGGAAGAAAGAAGACCTAAGCAGAGGCCCTTAGTCAGGAGCATATCTTGGGTGTTCAAGGAACAACAGGAGGCCAGTGTTGCTGAAGCAGAGTAAATGAGGGAGGCTAGATCAGTAGGGTCTTGGATGATACTGTAAGAAAGTTGGCTTTTATTCTTAATGAAATGGGAAACTGCTACAGGATTTTGAGCAGAGGACTGAAAATCTGACTTAGGTTTTGCATGGTTCACTCTGGTGAAGAACAGATTGGGAGCAATGGTTGATTTAGGGAGATTTTTAGGAGGTGATTGCAGTAATCCAGGTGAAAGATGCTTCTCAGACCAGGTGGTAGCAATGGAGGTGGGTGGTGGATATGACGGTAGAGCCAGCATGATTTCATGATGAGTTAGGGGGTATAAGAGAAAGGGAAATGTCAAAGATGACTCCAGTGGGGAACAGATGACATATAGGGATGAGGGTCAGTGAAAGGTGGTCTCATCAGTGAATTAGAAGATCCAGGGTATTAAAGGGTTGCTCACCAGAGAGGGTGAGCTAGAAGGATGAGAGATACTGGTTGAAAATGGACTGCAGGGCACTGGTCAGAACCTTACTCTTCTATTCAGTTTGGGCTCTAATGAGGCAAATTGAGGACAAGGTCACTGCAGGGAAGGAAGTCAGTGAACCAAGAGGCCAGGGTGGGAAGGATACCCAAAGTATATTTGAAATCATTGAAAGATAAGACCAGAGAGAAGTGAGAATGAGCCAGTAACTATGGCTTAAGAAATGATGGGAATCTAATCCCATCTTGGTCTTCCCTGAAGCTACCTAGGGGCTGCCAGCCATCTGTCAACTTATCAGCATGCAAAAAGACACTTACTACTTTGGAGATTCCAAGGATTTTAGGAGTTGTATGCCCTGAGGAGGGAAGGAAGACCAAATGTGTATTTTCCAATATCTCAGCTACACACGTATTAGCTGACCAAAAATAGGAAACATATATATATATACATATATTAAAATTGGAGAGTAGTGATAATATTCTTTGAGTTCAGTGTGAA